GCATATTGGAGGGTCTCAGCAATTTGTGCTCGAAAAAGAAGTACGCCTTCATGACTTCGGATATAATGTTGACCCTGAAAAAGCAAAAAGTTCCGTGTCTGATTGAACCCCTGGATCCGATAATGCAGTCAACTTTGGCAATGGGTGTGCCGCGCGGGAGCCCATTTCTACGATTGATTAATTACAAGTATGCATGGCATTGTATGATATTTTTACACCTTATTACAATAATACAGTGGGTTTTGTCCATGCACATTTATGGATTTTACAATGAAATATAACGAGTTTTTTTAAATGTACGTATAATATATTTGGAGTCTGTTAATCCATGTGAAGTCCTCGTAGAGTCTTGACGGTTTTGCATAAATTATTTTGCACAAGTTTTTCATAATGGAGTCCCGGCAAAATCAGAGGTTGTAACTTGTATCACACCATTAAACAATCTTTATAAATCTACATGGAACTCAATTGATTTATTAGTATAATATGTTACATTATCATGTGTTTCGTGATTGGATTTTACATTTAAAAAATTATTTGTACCGTTTTATTGTTAAGATATTGCGTGAATTTTGCTAGAAAATAAGTGCAATAAGCACGCGAAGATGTTATCACGATTCTACGAAAATTTCATAAAAATTCTGTGTATTTTCTAAAAGTAACTAGATATATTTAAATGTAAAATCCATGTAGATTTCCAGGTGGAATCAATTGGATTTTTATAAACAAGTCCATTATTTAGTGTTTTTGCTCATTTTTCATACATTATATATTTGTAAATAGCATTGCGTTGATAAAAGACAGCGGTATACTTCAAAGAGCTATTTCTAATGAATCGTTTTTGCATCCAACTGAGGTCAGTCTTTTCGAGCATATTAACATTACAATAATAAAATTAATACGCAGTTCTTTGTTATTTGTAGGCGAAGAATTTCGTGAGTCCTGTTGATATTTTTGACGTTTTGCCTCTTCTGTTGATTATCATCGTAGGATGGGTGAATGGACTTTTGCTGCATTCCTTGGAAAAAATGAGAATTTTGTAACGATTATTCAAAGTACTCTTGTGAATAAAAAGCTTCAAGTAATATTACATCAGATTTTTTTTTTTTTTCATTGAACGCAACATTTTTGGGTGATGAATCTTTATTTTTTTGTTGTAATTATAAAAAATTTACAAAATTTCATAGTAATTATTTATTTAAAAATTCATCATAGCCAAGACAATATTTCAAATCATGGTTAAACACTATAGCATACGTTTGTAAGTTCAATTTTGGTAGTAAAGTGAGTATTGTAATTAAATAATATATTTCTAGGACATTTTTTTAACAAGACGATTGTAAACAGCTTTTTCTATTAAGCCTATTTATCAACCATTATGTTCTACCATTATATTCTACACAAATATTTGTGATACCTTTGTACCGGGATTTTACTGTCAAATTCAACGGCAAAATGTACTTCACAGAAGTGTCTGATTGATCAAAAAAATTTGTTTAAATTTATACGAATATACTCATACTTTTTACTCAGTAAATGTGGCAGTCGTTCCATGGATAAACAAATTTATATTTTTGTATTTTAGCTACTTCTTATTATATTGGAATTCTTTTGTGGGTTTAAATAAAAAAAAAAAAGTATACATTCAATTAGAAATTAGAAAATTACTACAATTTCGAGAAGATTCAACGATTTTTATCTCATATAATGGCATCATTGATATCTGTGAAAAATGGACACATCCACGAATAAATAAAAGTCCAGAACTAAAAAGTACGCCGCATATAATATATTTATATGTATAAAAAAAGAAAAAAAAGAAAAAAAACACAAGCAATGAAGGCAGTTCCTTTATTCCTTTACTATTTTTCTTCCCCTTGATTTTTGTTTGGAACATTATATTACTGTCTGCCTGTTGACATTTGTTTGACTTTTACATATAACGGATTAAAAAAAAAAAAGTCCCCCCGCTGGATGTTTGGAGTTTTTTTACCGTCTAACGTGGAAGGGTAAGAACAAATACTGTGATTATGGTCGCGTATAATTACGTGGTTTAAGCACGTACAACGGGTGACATTGAATGTATGAGAAGGACATAAATATATGAATAAAAGGGGTCCAAGTGCTCGTGTAATAGGAAACCGCAGAAGCTAATTGCAGCGCGTGCCTTTTCATTTCCGCATTTTCGGGGTGTGGTGCATGCACTCGTATGTGTGCGAGTTTGTGAAATCGTTTTGAGGGCTAGTTGTCATTGATTGCGGTTATTTTTTATTTTTTTATTTATTTTTTTTTATTATATGTAGTTGCGTTGCTGTATTTAAAATTAAAAAAAAAGAAATGTTTGATCACTTGTAACTAAATTCTGTGTATTAACGACAATGGAATGGAAAAAAAACGCGCGCAGGTACCGAATCTTCATAAAGAAGTCCTACGACACGGCCACAAACTGGACGGCCTACGTGAGTCCCTTTTCTTCTGGCATTTGGACGAGCCTCGCGGTCTTTTTGATCCTATTCACCGTATCAACTGTACTCGGTTGCAAGATACTGTCGCAACAACGGGAATTCACGGGACAAGAAGTCGAGTGCTTTTCCATCTCCCACTCGTTCCTCCACGCGTTTGGCGCACTGTGCGCCCAAGGTGATACCACCACCACGCTAACTCTCTCGTGGGTGCATGTAATTGTTTTTAAATTTTTTTATTTCAGGTCAAGAATTCACAAAAATCGACTCGGTGCGGTTAATCAATTGGATCACTCACTTGACCGGTGTGGTGATATTGGCGTCGTACTCGGCTTTTCTCATCAGCAACTTGACAGTCAACGATTACGTCGTGCCCTTCCGGACGATGAAGGGCATGCTGAAGGACAGATCGTACAAACTAGCGGTCGTGAAAAGTAGCGCGGACTACGAGTTCTTTCAGGTGACTAACGGATAATCGAACCAAAGACATTTACGATTGTACAACAATTATAATCCATTGTGTCTTTCGTCACGTATAGACGTCGTCGGATGCGGTTGTCAAAGGAATTTTCAAGCGGATTCTGATAGAGCAAAAATATTTGCCCCGAAGCATATTGGAGGGTCTCAGCAATTTGTGCTCGAAAAAGAAGTACGCCTTCATGACTTCGGATATAATGTTGACCCTGAAAAAGCAAAAAGTTCCGTGTCTGATTGAACCCCTGGATCCGATAATGCAGTCAACTTTGGCAATGGGTGTGCCGCGCGGGAGCCCATTTCTACGATTGATTAATTACAAGTATGCATGGCATTGTATGATATTTTTACACCTTATTACAATAATACAGTGGGTTTTGTCCATGCACATTTATGGATTTTACAATGAAATATAACGAGTTTTTTTAAATGTACGTATAATATATTTGNAATACAATGAACATTTTCGAGATAAAGAGGTTTCTTAACGATTCGCTGCCGCTATTTGCCTCATAAGCCTCCAATTCCGGCGTAAAAAAAATAACCGAAGGAAATATTGTCCACGAATTCGTGGGTAATATTGTAAGCAAAAAAGAGATGCACCGCACACCCGAGCTGTACATGGAGAAAATCAGTATAGGAATGGTTCTCTCATGTTATCATAACAAAATTTGCGAAGATATGGGAGACGAGGCAAAACGTCATACTACCGGTATAACATATACATCTAAGATATTCGACAAAAGCGAGTGACTTTGACACGATTTCTAATAACAATTATTCTATTGATCTTCCATGTCTCTAATCTGGGTGTAAGAGTGTAGGAGAAAAATGTTTGATTTTGAAGTGAAAGAAGATCATTTTAGTAAATGTACAATCTAAATTTTTCATCGAAAGAAATACTGTTGGATCGATAAGAAAATAGTAGACTGTCATCGTATCGTTGCCGTACGAAATCTACGTATTGTACAAAAGCGAAATATCCATAAGTGAAATTTTTCAAAAAGCGATTTATTAAAAAAAAAAACAAAACGAAACGTCGCTAACCGAAAATCGCTCTTTTTTTAACACTCTGGGGTGCAAAATATTGTATCATAATCAATAATAAATATTTAAACGTTTTCTTAATCAATTTAACGAAAAATCGGTAGCATCTACTTATACATATTTTTTTTTCTTCATCCGTTCTGTGAATTTTTTCGTTCTAACGAACAAACATACGCTTCCATCGCGACCTCCGTCCACCGACAATTTGATAAATTTTTTCGTAATCCCGACACGGTCTCTAAACTTATTGACAGGAACCTCTACGAAACTACCTTGTTTTCTTCTGATTTTTTTAACCCATTGTATCTAAAAGTGCGTAAGATAATTGGCCAAAAAACCTTATTCGCTTTGTTTACAGTTTTGATTTTGATTTTTCAATTACATCGTGAAAGTAAGGGAGACAAAAAAAACATTTAATTTTACCCATCTCTACTTGTTTCGCAATACGTATACACTTTTTGGCACGATAAACAAGATAGTCCCTGCTTATCGAACATTAACTACTTTCAATAACTTTTTTTAAAAATAAATATCGGGTATTAAAAAGAAAGAAGAAAAGAAAATCGTTACGGAAAAGTCCACCAGCCAAGGGCCAAAACGCACGTTCCACAATGAGTGACAGGTAGGTATAAATTAGGGGTACCTATATAGAAAAGCCCGGAACAGCGGAAGACACGAAGGGCTCCACAGGGACCTATAACATCCATCCGGCTTACGCTCGTCGTCACCGCGCAGACCGTCCGAACGAGAGATAAGGGCAATATAGGGGATACGAGGAATTTCCCGCAAGCAAAAACCATTGTCTTCGCTCTCCCATATATATGGACAACGTCATATTATATACCTACTCCATCAATTTTTTCTTCTCCTTTCTTCTTCACTTTTACTCGTATACTTACATACACGCGCCGGCCGAACATCACGAGCGCCGTACAGCTGACTCGGCGACTAATTGTTAATTAAACCGAGCGCTCGGATCTATACACGCTCGTGCGATCAATTCGCTCTCGTCGGCTCCGCAGAGCACTTTGACACGCGCGACTGTGTACACGGCTCGGGTCTTTGGGGAGAAATTTTGCATACCCGAATTCGTTCTCGGGACATCGGTATTGTGTCTCTGGACTCGTAGGCGGTAGATCGCTGCTCCTGGACCCGGTTTGCGAGATGGGACTCTTTCGGGTCGTTGGGGCCGTTTTGGTCCTCATGGTGATTTCAACCGACGGTGAGTGTCGAAGCTTACAATTTTTTACATATTTATACATTTTATTTTTATTTTTTAATTACAACTTTCAACAGCGAATACAAAAAATACTTTTGCTTGCCACGTTCGCGGGATGGCGAGTAATGTTTTTCTTTTCTTTTTTTGCCGTGCGCAGGTGTGTCGTGTAGTTTTGCGCAAGAATTTGTTTTAAAAAAACACGGACATATAGTTACCGCGCGCGCATAAGAATTTTTCAAATATTTCCGTTACGCGATTATTCGGAATTTAAACATTTACGTGACATATTCGTTTGGTCGCCACAACGATGATTTGATTACTCATTGATGTGCTTTTGATGGCTCTGTTAGCGGATCGATGATTGTGACGGTTATCAATTGAATTTTTAGACACTCCGCGATCTATGCTGTGAAATTTACTTTATTTTTTTATCCACTAATTATTAATTCATATTAATTTTAAAAATCTCGTAAAAAATTGTCTGATAATTGTCACTCAAACGGAAGATTAAATTTTGTTATTTATGTGCGAGATTCACTAATCAGCACATCATTAAACTTTCTACTCCAAGTTTTTAATCGGAAACGTCGACTAGAAAAAAGTAAAGAAAAATATGTGCGATATAGAAAAAAGTGATGAGATTGGAGTAGATAACAAAAATTTCATAGAAAAGAATTATTAAACACCTAGCAAGTAATTATTTTACGAACCAATTACAAGTATACTGTTAAGGTTGACTGTACCTAAACGCGTATCACAAAATCTTTTACCGAAATTGCTCATAAAAAAAATATATTTCCATGAAATTTTGGTTTTACAGAAGTCGTCGAAGCCCTCACCATTCGAGGATCGTCCAAACAATTCGAGGATCCAGACGTCGATATGAACTTAACACTTTTTATGCTGCCTCCATCCATGAGTAGCGAAAACATTGAAAAAGAAAATCAAACCCTACCTGAAGTGGGGGACGCAAATAACACTGAAAGTGATGTCACCGAAGGTAACGATTTGACAACCCCAGAGACAGCCGTTTTGCTGGATTTTAAAAACGCCTCGACGACCATCAGTCCGACCGACATAGTCGAATCCTCATCGCAACGAATTGTCATTTCGGAGGAAAAAATGGAGAACGAAACCAGCGATGACACCAATTTACCTTTAGCTGGCGAAGCTACGAATCCGCCAGAGCTTTTGTACAATACAACAGAGCTTACTGCCGACGTTGACTCTGTCGGTAAGTTAGACATTGCAGGAGGAATAAACGACACCCTCCCGAATTCCGACAATTCCACGTTACCAGATCCATCGAGTGATGCTGTTACCGATATCATCGATACTATCGACAATTCATCGATAACGGAAAAAAATTTAACGGACAATTCAGTTGACATCAACTCGGTCACCTCAACCGAAAGTAGCGAAACAACTACGACGTTCAATTCAGAGCCAACAGAGCTGGAATCAGACGACAACCCGCAAACCGAAGTTCCAACCGGATTGACGAACTCGTCGGTTGAAATGCCGATAAATCAACCCACGGTTGTAAGCACTAACGCATCAGTCAGACACAATTTCAAGTATCTCGTGTCAAAGGACGCGAATGTTTTTTGCATCTTGGCTTCCATGAACGTGTCGTTTAGGGTTCCCTATCGCACTGTAGACAATAAGGTACGTTTTTTGATCGGTAACCCGGTAAGTTCAGTATATATTTGTTTGATGATATTTTGATTTTTTTTTTGTTTTTTGTTTTTTAGATCGTTACGAAGGAAATTCAAATACCAATGAGTAACGTGACTGTGAGCGGCGATTGCGGATTCAATGGTACGTCGGCCTCGATGACTTTAGCGTGGAAGGGTTCGCAGAACAGCAGCGATAACAGTAGCATCACGTTTCAGATAACGCACGATCACAAAGTTTTTTACGTTGAGCGTGTGTACGTTACGATATTCTTGGACGAGGACAATTTTCCAAATAGCACAGGTGAGTTGTTTTTTGGGTTTTCTGTACTTTTCGTTGTTGCTGCATCGTATACCTTCATCTAAAACTAATGAGTTTCATTGTTGTTTTATACGTTAAGCTTTTGATATTAGGTTTTAAACATTTTTACAGTCGGTTTTTTTTTAAATTTGGGTCAACTCATAATCTGCAGTGCTTCGTTTCTTGGCTTCACTTTATTTTACTTTTGTGTATAACAATACTCCCGTGAATACATTTATCATCACGTTCCGTCGCGAGTACATAATAAAATTTTTTTAAAAACAATCTTTGAAAATGCTAGACAAGTTGGTTTCGACTAGGATACTTAGATTTCCTTAATTCTAAGAATGGTTTTTAAATCTAGGTACGTGAAAAATGTCTAATTAACAGTTTATTTATTTATTTTTTTTTTTTTTCATCCAATACAAACAAAAAAAAAAAAAAAAAATTATTAAAAAACGGGGTACAAATTTGGGATAATCTTTGTGGAGTGATATTCTTGTATACATAATATATATATATATATATACCTATCAAGGTACAGTGAAAAAACAATGCTAATGATACTTTTATATATTACAGACATAGTAATAACAGGAAATAAAACGAAAAATCATTCGATTAAATTGTTTTCTGCGTCGATGAACAGTGGTATTTACACGTGTAATTCTCTGGTAAAAATTTCCTGCGGCGATATCGACGTGTTGATGAACAATGTAAGTCTCATTGCTTACAACGACAAACAAGATGTTTTCACGCACAGAAAAGGTGAGAAAACTTGGTGCTGTTTAGAATGAAAAAAAAAAAAAAAAAAAACTTCATACACATGAATTTTAATTTTTCAGCCAATTTTTGAAAATAACCTTATGATAAAAATGTATCATTATTTTTCAGAGGAACAATGTACTAACACAACGATGTTGGCAGACATGTGGATCTCCATTATTATAATGGGCATAATAGTTTGTATGATCGTGTCGACAATGATGATCTGCTACAGACTCCGAAAGAGAAAAAACCACCCCAGATCAGAACTGCCCGATTGAAACATGTCGATTTGAGAGTATTTGCCGGCAAAGTGACTTGTGTGCGTCACCATTTTTGTCCGTCAATCATTCAGATAGTATTGGACAAAAAACAATTTGCATATTTTTGTTTCGATAGTTAAATGCTGTGTTAATATGACGAGTGTATTATTGTGTTGAAGGAAAACATGCATTGTTATACCTTTTGCATTTTATTTTCTCATTAGGTTTTAAAATTTTTTAAAAATTATTCATTACATTCGTGAATATTTGTGTCGGGAAAAGACTGAGGTTTAGTTAGGAATGATAAAAAATAAAACTTGGGAAAATATGTTTATTTAAGCATATTTCATGTGCATTGCTTTATGAACAAATTGATTTTGACTGTACCATAAATGTATGCCTTATGCAATTAACATATTGTACATGTAAAATAACATGGCATTGTTGTCTATATTGATTAATCAAGACGAGAACTAAAAATTATTTTAATTCATTTTTTTTTTAACATCGTGAAGTCATCGTGTACAACGAAGTTGTTAATAAATATACAATTCATAACAAATAATTTAAAAAAAGCTGTGATTTATTTGTTCGTTTTTTTTACCTAAGAATAAAAGTACATGTGCAGTCGTTACAGTAAACTGTTCTATCGAGGTCTGTTTTCTCAACAGTGGTGTTTTAGAATTTTACATAATAACCAATATTTATCTATTTCAACCTTTGATTTTCAAATATTACAAATATAACGTGTCCTGTATTTCAGGCGACTCGAGACGGAATAGTTTAATGTTACAAATCATGTGTGCGTATTCATACAATAATACTTCAAAATGATGAGACAGACATTATAAACAGAAGTCAGAAATATTTATCTTTACAGTAAAATTTAATTTAATTTAATTTAGTAGACTTTTTCATAAACTTACTATCTACTGAGACTTGCTGCATTAGGATTTGTTGTATATTTCTAGAAAAAATTATGATTTTTTCAGAAAACACCGTTTAAAATTCGATTTTTAATTTTGACTGTATTTCTTACAATTTATTAACAAATCACTTTTATGGGGTGAAAAAATAGCCTATTTTTAGCAGAAAAAAAATTGTATTAAAAAATAAATAATTGAAAACTATCCAACTTTGACAGGGTATTGATTAGAAACGTTAGAATTGTACACGCAAAAGCTATACGCAATGATTAACACAAAAACTTTTATACACAATGTATTTCAATTGTTTAGCGAAATTAAAAAAAACAAGCCCTTTTCCTAAATTGGCCATTGCCCAGCTTGCACAGGGCCTACAGGATCTTTCAGGGCTCTAAAATCGAAATAAAACTGATACATATTAAGGATCTTATTTTTGCGATATAATTTTGTTAGTTGATAGTACATGCACATTTTGTTAATAGGAAAATATACAAATAACAGAAATAACTTGAACAGAAACTAGTTGAAAAAAAGGTTCTTTTTCAGTAGTTCATGGTGATTCAATTTCATTTACAGAAATTCAAGTGTATATGTTCCTAAATTTTTTTTTTTTTTAAATAATTTTTAACCTACACAATCGTATAATTTTTTGTCACCACGTGTTGTCGTTTTTTTACGAAACAAAGTTATGTAAAAAATTTTTTAGTTGATTAAATTTTTGTTGTTGCTTTTACATTTGATTCAGTTAATGTGTAATTAAAATTGCACAGCATTTGATGGAATTAAATTTAAAATTATGAATATTTCTTCAGAGTGTAAACAAATCAAATAGCGTTACTTTGGATTACATTTATGTGATAAGCTAATTTCAATTTAATTTTTTTCTGCAATTCATTGCAACTGATCGTTGAAGAATTTTGCCAAGCAATACGCTTGACTTGTTTTACTGCGGACGAAATAAAAAGGATAGAATTATTTGTCGAAATTTCAAATAGTTTTAGTACTTTTGTACATTAAATGGTTGTATTGATTACAGAAAGTTATAGTGTATTATAAATAAGCGTACTATGGACTAAATGACTCAAAATTATTGTAGTTTTAACCCGAAATCCGTGCAAAATGTAATTTAAACGGAACAAAACGTGTGTGTTATCTGTTCGGTTTTTGTTACATCAAAAGTTCAATTACAACGCTTAGAATATGGATCGAATAAAGTATACAGATACCTAAAGATGTAGGGTACTGCACTGTTAGGTTCCTTAAAAATTTTCTTTTTTGAAAGCTAATAAAAAGTTAATGAAAAAATGCAACCAACATCGATTTATTGTAATTTTTATCTAAAACATGTAACAGCACGTTTGAATTTAGCGCGCAATTAGGGTAACCACACAAATATCTAGTGTTAAAAAAGAACCTAGATCAAGGGCAAAAAAGTCCCTAGACCATGGCAATCGTACAATAACAACACAAGACACCGGTTTAAAGGTTAGGTTTCTCCATGTGTCACGTGTGATTATGTGTTACAAAGACGAATACATTTTTTAAATCATTTTTTAACGAAAGTTTTAAAACATGAACGGCCAAACTGAAGCTGAAGAGCCCCAAATTTTCGTGCGATTGGCCGTGAATCGTATCAATCAACACCTTCCCTCGCTTCCGGATCCTCACTTGATGTTTTTCACTCCTGGTGAAGAGATATCAACTCAGCCAGACTTTTTAAGGTAAACGAAAGAGTGATGAGTTAAAAGTCATCAGTTGATTAAAACAAAATGTATTTTATTCCAGAGGTCATGGTACTTATGTCGATGAGCAAGAAATGCTGAGAGCATCTGTTGCTGGTCGCTTGGAAAGAGTCAACAAACTAATATCCGTGAGGCCCTACAAAACACGGTATCAGGGAGAAATCGGTGACGTTGTTGTTGGCAGGATAACGGAAGTACAGCAAAAACGATGGAAAGTTGATTGCAATGCAAAACTAGATGCTGCTCTGTTGCTGTCGAGTGTGAATTTACCTGGTGGTGAATTGGTATGTATTGCAATTAATGTGCCTTTATGTGTCACATGAGTTGTAATAACTGTGTTGCGTTGTATTGCAGAGGAGAAGATCTGTGGAAGACGAACAAGCCATGAGACGGTATTTACAAGAAGGAGACCTCATATGCGCAGAAGTGCAGAGTATATTTGCAGATGGCTCGTTGTCGTTGCACACTAGAGTTTTGAAATATGGCAAGCTGTCGCAAGGTGTCATGTTAAAAGTGTCTCCGGCTTTTATCAAAAGACAAAAGACACACTTTCACAATTTAACAAATGGAGCCTGTTTGATTTTGGGAAGCAATGGCTACGTGTGGATTGGAGCAAATGTTGCTGACACGGACAGATCCGAGGGTGGTTTCACCCAGGATTTGTCTCGTGTTAATCAAGAAAACAGAGAAGTTTGTGCACGACTTAGGAACTGTATTTTTAGTCTAACCAAGAGCAACATCCTGTTGTCAGATACATCGGTCACCTATGCTTATGAGGAATCAATGAAATACACAGTGAAAGAAATGTTACATCCAGAGGTGCAGCTCGATGTCGCGATATTAACTCATCAAAGACTGTCGGAATTAGTGAAGTAACCGTGTTTAGTTTAATTTAATTTTAGTACATTATCACATTGAGTTGAGATGTAAATATTTATAAATATATTTTTTAATTATAATTTTGTACATTGAATTTAATAATCAATTCATAAAGTCATAATTACCATACCATATTGTACCGTGTGAGATTGATACATACCTAATACATAAAATAAAAAATTACTATCTTTAACTTAATATGGGTAACAGAAGATATTGTGAGCTCAATTTTGATAAGGAAATTGTTTTATAATAAAATGAATGCAAAGCATCTCAAAGTTTAATTTCTGTCAAAACCCATGGTTTATTGTAAAATTTTCAGTTTGCTTGTATGTAAGTGACATTGACAAAAAAAAAAAAAAAAAAAAAAAGCCAGCCTTTAATAATTTGAAAAGTGCCGTGCTCGGATAATAGAAGGGAAAAAAAAATGAAAAGAAATTTATTATTCGGAAACAGAAGGCAATTACGTATACCAAATCGATGATGAATCCCTCCCTTGACGTCCAGTCATGGATACGCCCTCTCACTTATCCCCCGTCGCAGCTGCTGTACTTGCTGCCCTGGCTATATATAAGCTTTCTCCATTCATCCACGTTATTTATATATATTATATGTATTTTACCTCCATCATCATCCTGCACGCGCGCGCGAGATCGTGAGAATTTTCGGTAGCTGATGTTCAGCTGGGCGAGCGTTTTTATGCTTAACGGTCGTTTCCTCGGTTACCGTGCCTTTTTCATTTTTATGGGCTTCTGCAAAAATATAGTGGTCCGTGTGTATTATTATTATTATACGTACATGATATATGCGTTCGCTCAATTGTTGTGTGCAGTGTACCATTTTACTCTAATTTATTCTAATTTATTTGTTTGTTTAACAAAATTACTAAGACTTGAGTTTTCAATACTTAAATGTGTCACGTCAATTTCTCTTGGAAAGGAGTTGAAAAAATATGTTCTTAAGAATAAAAAAAAAAATTAAAGTCGGAGAATTGTAGTACAAATTCTTATTCATAATTTAATTTTTACCATCATGTGTTGAGCATTTTGAAAAAAATGGATTTTTCATGGATCAGTCGAACAATACCCTATTTACAGAGATTTTTGAGCAAAAAATAGTAATTTTTTTACCAAAGTTTCAACAAAAATTATATTACAAAAAGCTATTGCATTTATATTAAGTATAAAAAAGAGTGGATAAATTGATGTAACGGCTTCGTATGCCAATCCGACATTTTCACTTATGACGACGCGTGTGCAAAACAAAATGCAGCTTTACAAATTTTTTTGGAGCCACATAGATGATGTTAGCGTTAATTTTAAGCATTTTAGGGATGCGAAATACATTTTTTAAAGAAATTTTAATGCTGTGAAGATATAGTGGCCCAAAAGTTTGAAAAATCCAATGTATCCATCCGCAAAAAATGCTTTTGCTAATGCACGCAGTTGTATTAAAGGTATTCCAATTTAAACGTTTCTGATTCTACAAAGATGGTGTGCATTACAGAATTTTTAAAAAATTTTTTCTTAAGCCAGTGCAACGAACTTGTACGAATTTGTAAAGTGAGTCTTCCTAAGATAAACACAAAAATCACTCGGAGCCCTAATTGTCATTGGCTGCGTCGAAATTGGGTAATGGCCCTTGTTTTTTGCTCAGAGCTCGTTACGCCACCCGCTACCTATTAATATAATCTCTGCCCATCACATTACCATTAATAATAAACCAACAAAGGGCAGCACATCCACAATTGCAAAAGTCTAATTTCCCACCTTATGAAAGGAGCTTACGTATACGGGTTGGCAGTTGATTTCGAATCTCAAATAGCACAACAATTTATACCAAATAATGTACAGATGGACAGTAATATACTTATACTGTGGCCATTTACATGTAATTATATAAAATAGCCAAAAAAGACGATGGCTCACGCACTTTCACCCTTCTGTCTTTTTTTGAAAGTATTGCTTCAAAATTGTCTCAAGATGCCAAACAGTGTTTACTATAGTGAATTGTATACAATTTGAAACACGATCTGTAAGTTGGTTAGTTAGAAACATCAACCGGCAATTCGATGAAAATTTAAGTAATTTAAATATAAGTTGAGGGTTTGTTACTCCTTCGTTAAAATAACGCGTCCCGATTCGTGCAATACTTTCCATGATTCGTATAAAGTTGAGACGTTCGTAAATTTATGACTTATAGTTTTTGGAAGATTTTTCGTGTGATTGGTTTTTTTTTTTTTTTTTATTAGTTGATGCCTTTCTTAGAGTCAGACTATTTTTTACTTAATTTATTTTCAAATATAAGAATTTTTAAAATAATTTTGATTTGTTCAAATGGTTGTTTAAATACAATTTAATAACTGACTCCTGTGAGAATCTATGTTCATTTGTGAAATTACATAATATTGTTTCTCGAATAGGTCTAGAAAAATGTATTGAAAAAATTCATACGCACATTACATGTTCTTAAAAAAAAACGCAAGTTTTTGCTATGATCGTGGAATTTTTTACAAGAAAGTGTATTGATTTTTTCTTATTTATTAAATAACATAACGCCGTGATTTTTCTAAGTTTAAGGTTTGTAATTCCCACCATGAAAATATGGCGTGTACAGTCTCGTGTAAGTTATGCTCTACTTTTAGTGATTCATCGAGTTTCGGCGATCGTAAATGCGTAGAGTGACACATCAATTTTGCGTATACGAAGTTCTGGCTCTCTCTTGTGTCATTGCATTGCCAAAGTGAGAATAAGTAAGGTACCTCAGCTATAATACGAGCTTAGTTTATACTAGTTAAACTCGTGTTATTTTACAAAAGTTGTAGCTCTTCCGCCACCAAAATGCTTCGCGTATACAAAGGAGGATATCTGTATACAAATACAGAATAAGTGCAAAATGTGCGTAAATACATCGCAATGGAGAAAACGAAGCATTACATAAATTGTGAAGGACTAAAATTATCGTTATGTCCAGTAGTTATTGGAGTTCAAATTGTGCTCACAGGTAGTGCCGTTTGTATGGGTAACGATACAAAACTGGTGGGTTTCAATATTTTGGTTCCTTCGCTCAAGAAGAAAACATTCAATGCTTGCCCCTAAAAATCGTAAGTTTAAGTAATTAACGCTTTGATTATTAATATAAATTATTTAGTGTGTCCAGCCCGTTATTGTTGTAGAACAAGTGAGTCATTACTAGCATCACAATAAGTAATTGCAAAATATTTTTGTGTTATTACAGACAGACGTTACTTGAAGGAATAAAAGTCTATGATGGCCACAAACAATCTTAAAAAAAAGGTAATTTACTATTTTTTAATTTACGCTTTACACTTAATTTCATTTAATTTTACAACTTTGAAATAGTTGTAAAATAATTTTTTTTATTTTTCAAAATGTGAAGGCCCACTACAACTTAATTTAATCCATGAAATTTCAAAATATTTTGAACACGTGAGATAATTAAAATTTTTACCCAACATTTATTCCTAAAAATCTATCAATTATTATTAAACAATATTTGGGTCGTGATTAACAAATTTTGCGCTGATATAGTTAGCCATATTTTGCATTTCACGCGATAAAATTGATTTTAAAAAGTCTATAAAAGCTTTTACGTTATTTCGCTTCTAATATACGTGATTATTTCCTTATTTATTGTAGAAAATTATTAAACATATAATTTTATCTTAATTTTCAGCTGTTGTACCGGAAAGTAGATATTCGCAATTTTTTTTGCTTTACTAAAACATATTGATTGTAACTTCACTCACCGAATATAACAATTATATCTTAAATTGACGTCTCTATCAACGCCCACTGGGAATGTTATGCCATAACATGGAATTTAACAAGCACATACACATGGATAGACGACGCTATCAATGCCACTATTGTATTAAATCGTTTGTTTGCGAAAGTGAATTAGCAAAGCACACTTGTATTCGCTTGAGCAACCCCTTTTTTGGATCAGCCCTTCTAAAATCACTTTCCGACTACTTTCATACAAACAGGCGCTTCAAATGCAACGATTGCGGCAAGTCTTTTACCGGAAAACACAATCTTACATGCCACACGCGCATCCACACGGGAGAAAGGCCATTTTTATGTAACACTTGCGGTAAACGTTTCACCCGATCATCTACTTTAAAAAGGCACGAACTTGTGCACGTGGGCCCAAAGCCATGGTCTTGTCAAAGCTGCAATAAATCTTTTGCCGAAGCATATCAATTGAGTTTGCACGAGAGCTTACATTCACTTAAAAAGCTATTTACATGTGAAGTATGCGGCGAATCGTTCGCGTTGATATCTCAATTAAAAACACACACTTTGGACCACAATGTAGCCAACCCGTGCTACAAATGCCGTTATTGCGATCAATCTTTTTTTTCCCTGCATTATCTCAAACTGCACAACATCAGCCACACAGGAGAAGGGCCATACGCGTGTAAAATCTGCGGCAAGACTTACAGTCATAAATATTATTTGAAAACGCACGAGCGCATCCATACCGGGGAAAAACCATGGGTTTGTAAAAGCTGCGGTAAAAGATTCACACAATCGTCCAACTTGAGAACACATGAGCGCACCCATTTCAGTTACAAGGAATTCAAATGCAAAGTCTGCGGCAAATCCTATTCTCAAGATAACGATCTCAAAGCACATATTCTAATACATACGATAAAAAACCGTTACTTTAAGTGCTTCTATTGCGGTAAAACTTTTTTTTCCAAAAAACATATCATACGGCACATTCGAACTCATATAAGATATAGGCCATATGGGTGTAGAATTTGCGGCACAGCTTACGGTCACCTGGACACTTATCAGGAACACGTTCTCAGCCATGCCAACACACAAATGTTCGAATGCAATGAGTGTGGAAAGGCTTTTACTGATAAAAACAAGATTCTGAGGCACCTACATCTCCACACGGAAAAACCATGCGATTGCGAAATCTGTGGCAAATCTTTCCTTGCAAAATGTAATGCCAAATGGCATAGCCTCGTCCAAAACAGCGACAGACCATTTAGATGCCATGAATGTGGTAAATCTTTTGCTGACAAAAAAAACCTTGCAAATCATACTCTTATACATACTAAGGTAAAATCGTAAAAATGAAAAATTATTTACAAACATTTAACACAAGAATCTTGGAAATTTCACCTAAAAGTAAATAAACCTCGTACACATTTATGGTCCGAAAAGTTTTATATGAAAACCTTTATTAATCATATTCTCGAATGGATAACTTACAACTATATTTATGCACAAAAAAATTGAACCATTTTATACTACGACGATGTACACATTTTTTACTATATTTTGTTGTAAACTAAAATAATAGATTAATTCTCAATGTAAATTTATTTTAGGTGATATATCTTGGGACATTTAGAAGTAAGTTTACAAGTGTTAGGGCCGATTTTCCTTTATTTTAGGAAATATTTTTGAAACTCGCAGAGTTTGCTCTCTTAATTTTACGGTGACAAGCTTACACTTCATAGGGATACTTTTCACATGCCCTCATGATTAGTTACCATTGTCTTATGTGTAATTTACATTACATCTGGTATGAAAAAATTCACTGATAAGATCCATGCATGTGTCATTTTAGAAAATCTGCGATATTTCAAAGCGTTCAATTAGATTTTCAGTGTTTCAGTGTTTATAAATTATTCTTCGTTTTATTTATTTTTTTTTTTATCACGCAAAAATATAAACTAAATGGAAATTTTTTATTTGGCTCTATTGCCATATTTTACACGCCCATTTTAATTTTAATTTGATTTTTTTTTTAATTCCAAAAAAACATAACAGAAATGTCCCGGAATTCATAGTTAATATTATCGGAATAATATGGTCAAGTATTGTTTCAACAAATTTTTTTTTAAACTAATTAATCA